AAATCCGCTGATCTGGATGGGTCTTCCACTGCATCTACAAGCATTGGGCTTCCATGGGGATGTTCTTTTATTCTACCCCAAATTATCTTCTCTGACATAGGGGGATATTATAGTTGATTTAAGTGCTGTGACATGCAGATCAACGGATGTAGCAACACTTACTGGAGTCTGGCCTTTGTTGTTTCCAATCGTCATTTTATCAAAATCAATTACAAACTTCCTTGGTAGTAGATAGTCCAATCCTAATATGCATTCGTCTTCCATATCAGCCAAGTATACATTCTGTCTGTTCTTTATACCCATGAGCTCAATAGTCACCCACACTGGTCCCCACAATCTTGTAGAATGTCCTGTCACACCACAAAGCTTCTTTATGGCTTCTGGTACTCCTTCGTGATTTAACGCCTTGATGCTCACAAGGGTTTGTTGAGACGCAGAGTCAATGACAAAGTTGCACCTTTGGCCATCCAGCTTTCCTGTCACATAGACACTGTGTGTGCTTCGCATTTTACACCTAGCTGTTGGGACTTTCAAGATGGGGGTTGATGGGCGTTGCTCAACACCAACCACTACTGGTCTCCTTGAGGCCGACTTGTTGGTAATATTCCTCCTACACTGGCTCCTCAAATGTCCGTGCTTTCCACAGTTCCAACAACTTTTCTGGATACCAGCCTTTCCTGCTCTGGCACCTCCCCTGTGTTGAAGTTTCCAACACTGAGCTCTCTTGTGCCCAGGTTTATTACAGTGCCAGCAAAGTCCCTCAAACCTCTCTGAAAGCAGACCTTTTCTGGCCTGGATTCCAGATGACTGTACCAACCTCGGTACCTCCGTAGGATTAAAATTCGAGAGCACTGGCCATTGCATCATGCATGGTGGAGGGGTGTGCTTGCTTCACTTGTATCTTAAGTTGTGGACTGTCCAAGGCATCTACGAACTGATCCTTCAGCAACAACTTGAGGAGATCGGGTGGTGCAGTTGGGTAGGCCTTGTGTGCCATGCTCTCCAAGTCCTTGCAGGCTCTCCCCTTTAGCACGGACTCTCGTCCTGAACCTGGCCCTGTAGACTTCTGACTGGTTTTGGGTTCCGTACCTGA